CTCTGCACAGCTGTGCCTTCTTTAGGCTCCTCTGTGTGTTTGTGCCAGTAGAGCAGTGCTCTAGTGGAAATTGCCCCGGCCTGGCAATAGGTGTTTCCTGGTCAAAGGGAGTGAACACCATTCCTGTCCCTGAGCCATAACCTGGCCATGTCAACAGTGTGTGTGGGAGGAGGAGGAGGGACCTTGTCACTACATGGCCGGTGGCAGGTCATCCATGGGCATGGGAGAATTTGCTGGTGCTGGAGCCGGGATGGAGGTTGCACCAAGCCAGCTGGCACAAGTTTAAAATTGGGATTGAAAGGGTTCATTATATGGAAATTTATTAAATCTTCCTCAGTTTTCTCTTCTGGCACTCCACTAACCTTGCAATCTAGAAAAGGTGCCTTTCTCTGCCCAGTCAACTTAGCTCCTGGCCATTCAGATGACTTCCTATGTAACTGCGTAAATGCTTGCACATATGGACCCTCATTCCATTTTCCTGATCTCTGGCAGAGTAATTCCAACTGCAAGATTGTATGGTAATTCAGAGGACCATCTGGCAGCCACCTTCCCTCACTTTCCAACACACACCTAGGCCAGGCAGTGTTGCAGTAAAACATTAAGGATTATAAGCACACAGACAACTGAAAGAAATTCCCAAAATCAAGGGTGACCGATGGGAATCTCTGAAGTACAGACAGAACAGATGGGAACAAATCTTCTAGGTGCCCTAATCCCACTCAACTGTGATTCCTATACTAGAGGCAGCCCAGTTGCCCCTTTTGTGGGGAGACCAGATATGTGGAACCCAGGGTCTCAGCATGCATGCTGGGGACTTAGCAGACAATCAAGGATTTACAACTTCACTGAACTTAGTTTTCTTTTTCTCAAATAGGCCAAATGGTTGAGTGAGACCTACCCCTTCAGGGAGAGAAAGGGGAGTTCTGAAACGAAGGGAGCATTGGCAGCTGCTGGGACTGTTCCTCAAATTCTTCTCTTTTTCATGGATGCCATCTCCATCAAAATGGTCTAAACTAGGGCTGGGGCTGGGGCTCCGTGGTAGAGTGCTTACCTAGCACATGTGAGGCCCTGGGTTCAATCCTCAGCACCACGTAAATCATAAATGAATAAAATAAAACTATAAAAAAAAGTTCCCCCCCAAAACTGTTCTAAACTGAGGAAAATTTACCCCATCTCTGAAGTCCTAAGTGGTCAACTATGAATGAGCCCACCAGCCACTTCACACCCTCAGCATGGAAGAGAGTGGAGAATGGAGGGGGCCATCAGAATTCTAGACCTGTCCAGAAGTCCGGAGCACAGAATGCTTTCAGGTGATGTTTGGGTCACCAATTGATACCAAAAGTTCAATATTTGTTCCTGAAGCCAGTCCAAATAATGAGGACAAATTATGAGGGCAAAGTTTATGAGAAAAAAGAAGTTTTATTGATTTGCTAGCAAAGGGGAGGGCAATGGATGGATCCAAAGACTACCATCTCACTGCCATCTCAGGGGAACTAAAAGGGGACCACAAGGACTGGGCTCCAAGTATAATTATTATACTGGATATTTTTATAATTAATATCCAGCTGGTGTCCTGGAGAGAGCCATGGCTCCGGTTCCCAGGTCCGGAGTTTATTCTTTTAGTGAACAAGGAACACAAATCTTAGATTGGGATGGGAGACGTATTATTAATCTTGTTTCTCCTGCTGTTAGGGACAGGGAGAAGGAAAGGAGGAAGAAAAAGAATAAAAACATCACAGTTTTAAAATAAGCTACCAATGGTTGAGCAGCAAGGTTTATGCTCCAAGCATGAAGGGAACTCGCATTACAACACTGCTTGGAATGTAACGTTTGGGCATGTTTAGTGATCTTCATGTAAAGATGGAAGCCATGGAGCAGTGAAATGCTACAGTTAAAATCACACAAACACAAACCTGTGAAGACTATTGCTATCAACAAGTCTAATTTGGAGGGCATCAACATGGTAAAGTGCTCTCCTAAGCTTAAGACTTATACACTTGGGGAATGCAAATGCACTTCACGTACAAGATAGCCAGTCATAACCAGCACCACAGATACATGCAAGTCCTTCAAATACACCATTATGGCTTTTACTTTTAAAGAAAAACCTATATATCAGTAGGATAACTATAATAGTATTGCTTTGCTTTTCAAACAGTTCTATACAAGTTGAAAAACTAAAGGAACACTTCAAATCTGGCTCCAACCATTAAAAAAAAAAAATCACAACTTAGTAATGACCATTTTATACATTCATTCAGATGTGATGGCTATTGTATAAAAGAGAACACTTATTGGTTACATGTCATGAATTAAATCGACGTATCTTTACAATTTTTTGAGTGATGTTTAGATAAAACTCAGATACATGGAATGCCTTGCCCTCATATATACACATACCTTTAACAAAACAAGAAAAACCAAATGCATTATTTTACATGTTCTAAAGTATCTATTTTTTTTGTACTAAAATTAAATTTTCTTCAATATAAAAAGGACTTTTTATCTTAAACATCTAACAAAGAAAAGTACAATCCTGATTGGTCAGAGAGATACCCAGACAAAAATGTATGCTAACAACTCTGAAGAGATTTTAATTTTTATTTTACCAGTAAATTTAAATGAACACATTTGCTTACTCATTTATCTGTAAGTCAATTTGAATAGAATTTCCTAGGAGATTTTATTATTATAGATACACAATTAACCCAAAATTTTCAGGTCACACAGAGGTTGAGTTTTAAAAGATTTTCTTTTTCTTCTTCTCTCTCCTTTTCTTTATCTTGGGACAGGGGATCTCTTTAGCATCTCATCTCTTTTTTACACGTAGAGACATGTAAGTACATACGCTCAAAGGCACCAGAGATCCAGAACTGGGTACAAAGTCCAACAACGATCTCACCTGCCTTTCAGTACCAAGTTTCAAATGGCTGACATGATAAAATGGTGAGATTTTTCACCTATACAAATGCTACCAAGTGTAAATGACAGAAGTGCCCAGCTGGCAGAGAACGACTCACCCAGCCTAAGACCTCCTGGCTTACCCAAATGTCAACTGCTTGCGTCAACAAGGTGCTTGGTCATCAGGATGCACCATGAATGATGAAAACAAGGGCGAGTTCCCAGAATAAAAGGGGGTCTTGCAGCTACTCGAGTTAGTACAGAGACTTCCCCCATCCTGGGGGCTGGCTGTGCCACAGGCAGCAGTCCTCCTGGCTGGCTCACCAAATTTGTCATGGGAACAAGTCAGGCTGCTCACCCTATGACAGGTCAGTTAAGTTGGAAAGATAAAATATCAAGGCAAGGAAGGTGAGTTACTCCAGAAGCCTGCTAGGGGAAAAAGCCCTTCTTGCTTGGATGCTGATTTGGGGGAGTTTTATACAGATGGTTGATGGTTGTTCCTTACATAGTGCAATTCATGGTAATGCATAAAAACACCTCCAATGCCGGTCTTCAAAGTGACTTACTGAAGGGCACACAGACAGAAGGTCTGAGGTTCCTTTTATCCCCCCACTGTTGTGCATTCTCTTTCCCCCGCTTCCCTCCTTGCCCTAGGTAGGTCACCTTTCTTTTAGGCCATTGATATTTTGATAAGAGAAGGTAGAAAAATCATGATTTCACATCACACCCAATTAGATGAAATTAGATCTGATTGTTTTACTTAAAACTTTTCTTGATTTTTGCCTGCTGAATTTTGATCTGCACAAACACATTTTATTGAGAAGTGTGGTTGGGCCTCTAGGTGGGGACAGAGAATGTTTCTGGACTGTAGTACTGCCCATTGGGATGAAGGACCTAGCATGCTTGATCCTGGAACTTCTTACCCAAGACCAGGACTATTTCTGTACCAGTGGATGATATTCATATCGACACCTTCAGGATATGTGGTTAAATTAAATGAAAAAGCTATGAAGAGTATACCTACTATGTTCATATTTTTTACAGAACAAGAAGTTTCCAAAGGAAGCTGTCTTCTGTGTTCCTTTGGTGGCTTACTGATGCCACTAAAAACCCAGATACTTCCTATGTCAACGCTCCACTGTTCTTACCTGTAGTCTTACCTGTAGACTTCATTTTAGTCGTTTTATAGTTGCAAGACACTGGCTGCAGCTCAAGATATTACATCTGCAATCAAGTCAGGATGAAAGAGGAAGGAGAAGCATTGGTCCTGTCTGTTCCCTTTATCAGAAAAACAAGATATCCAAGATATCCAAGAAAGTCCCTAGAAGATTCCCCCTTACATTTTCTGGCAGAGTTAGGGGATTTGGTCACTGTTCAGATTTTCAGCCTCTATAGTGGACAAAAAAAGAGGAAGGTAGAATGACTGTTGAGTTAGCCAACCAGTTGATTTGAATGAGCCCAGGGCTGACTATTATTCTTTCATGTATTTGATTAGTTATTTAAGTATGGCACAATGTTTTGCCTCTTGCTGTCTTCTCTTCTCCCTCCTTTCTCCACCTGACATGCATCACGGTGTATGTCAGCATTTTGGTTTAGGGAACAATAACACACACGCCCCGCAAACTTGGGACCATATCTGAGTACCATTCCTACATTAATTCCTTCGTTTTTAGAAAACAAACAAACAAAACAACATGTCTGAAACATATCGAAATCAGGACACATTTTTCAACTTTCTTTCTCTCTTATTTACCAAGGTATCTTCCTATTTATTTTGGGAATGGGAATCAACATTCACAGTGACTATATATTGCGCCAGCTCAGGAAGCCTGGAGAACTCACCTACAGGATTCCACAAGGTAATGCCTTCCCCAACCCACCAGGTTCCCACTCTCCCTTGGAGCCTGTCCCAGGGATTAAGCTCTAACAAGTGGAGATAGAGTATCAAATGCACAAGTATGCAACAAGTCCTGGCTTGCTCCTGACTTCTCCTCCATTCCCTGTTCCCTCCACAGCACATCTGCATTTCTCACATATACCCTGAAGCTCAATAGAGCTACGGAGAATCATCAGAAAGCAAGATCACAATATCCTGAAGGTGGAAGAGGGTGCCAGGCATGGGTAGGGTAGGAGTAGATTGCAATCTGGTTGTAGTAGATAAGATAGTTCTGCACCCAGAGTATAATCCTTTCTGAGCTAATAAACGAAACTTAAGATTTCATTGCTGTGTCGACATCATAGAATGCACTCACAAGAACCTAGATAGTGTAGCCTACTAAATCCCTTGGCTCTAGCCTGCTTTTAATTTTTTTTAACTGTGCATATTTTTACCTTTCAAACATTTTTTTTTGTTGTTGTTAAAAACTAAGACACAAACACACATTAGCCTAGGTCTATATGGGTTCAGAATCATTAAAATCATGGCTTCCACCATCATATCTTGTCTCTTTGGAAAGTCTTACATGTAATAACACACATTTAGCTTTAATTTCCTATGATAAAAATGATTTTTTTGTGGGGAATACTTGCTTAAGAATGTTTTACAGTTAATTTTTTGGTATTCTAAAATAACAAATAATACAGCATAGTAAATTTAAGAACATAGCACATTAGTTTATTAAATTATGTCCTGTACGTAATTTAATGTGCAACACTTTTATATGACTGGCAGTGTGGTAGGTTTTTTTACACCAGTGTCGCCATGAATACACAAGTAGTGCATTGTGTATGAGATTACACTGGCTATGATTCACTCTAATTATCATCTAAAGGGTCACCATTGTATAAGCAATCTGATGTTGACTAAAGCATTGTTATACAGCACCTGAGTCTATATTTTTGGGGATATTGAATATTTTGAAGATGCTGAATATTTGAAATCCTAATTATTCCCAAGAAAGGAGGGTGTGAGATAAACAGATAAGCAGGTGGGAATGGATCATTTTCAGTAATCCTTTAACACATTGGAAGATTCCAGAACAAATTATCCAGGAGAACCCCACAAAGCTCCTATGCTTGTAAAGGGAGTCTCCAACCCCAACTTTGTTCTAGCTACCTTTATGTGTTCTGGAACAACACATGGAGGGGTGCGATGTCACAAGGATGCAGCTCTGATCATTGACCTTCTGATTCTTCTGCACACAGGTGGTTTGTTTACATATGTTTCTGGAGCCAATTACCTTGGCGAGATCATTGAATGGATCGGCTATGCCTTGGCCACTTGGTCCCCTCCAGGACTTGCGTTTGCCTTTTTCTCACTTTGTTACCTTAGCCAGCGAGCTTCTCATCACCACAGGTAAACTTGTCAATAAACGCAGTGGAACCCAGGTAGCTTTCCTCTCCAGACATGCCTTTTAGTACAGGGAGTCTGATTGAGAAAACTTATTTATCTTTTTTTTAAGGGAAATTAGATACCATAATCTGGGCTGTAAAACTCTGAAATTTAAGGATTTTGCTGTCATTGCAATTTAGCTGGACGACCCAAGCAGTAAATATTTTTCTAAGAGCAAAAACAAACCCATGTAGATGGAGGCCCCTAAGGTGACAGTTGAGAAGCCACTGTGTCTACCCTTTGAAGAAGTCTTCCCAGCAAGGGCACCTCGTATCTAAGTGACTGTTGACCCCGGTTCTGTGCTTGGGGATGGGTGCTACTTGGCAGTAAGTAAATTGTAGATACTGAGTTAAGAGACAAAAGAAGTCACCTTCATTTCCATGCCCCAGTCCAACTTCCTCCATGATTCTGGAAGTGTGTTCTGTTGGGGAGACCAGGGCCAGCACCTCCCAAAGGATCGCAGATAATTCTGAGGTACAGCTTGGATAGAGAACCTCTGGGAAGAAACACTAGCTGGTGTCTATGTGGATGTTCTTTTTGGGAGCTAGTTTCAGTTCAAGGCTTGGTGCTAACAGTTCAGGTAATCACAGAGTCCTGTCATCTGCAGAAGGATTATTTGTTCTGGAATCTTCCAATGCTGGGGCTTCTTCTGGTACTGTCCTCCTTCCTTTACCCCTCTCCATCTCTCATAGCCAAGGCTATGGTAAGGTAGAGTAAGCAATTGTGTGGAGGGTGCAATTGTTGGACTGCCCCCTCTGCTGGTCATTGCTGGGATCGCAGGCATCTAGAACCTTTCCTCTGAAAGTCTGGTCTACAGCTTCACTAACCTCACTAGGGGTGGGGTGGGGACAAAAAGGGATAACTAAAAGTATCGCTGGAGGGAAACATATGAAGTTGTTATCTTAGTTTAAACCTGAGTGCGACCTTCATATCCATTTCTCCAAAAGGCTTTTGGGGCAAGATAAAGCCTGTGATTCCTGGAGACCGAGAGAGGATGATCCACTTTACCTTTTGAATATAGCCCTGGCTGCTCATTTATTTTATTTTTTAAGATTTCTTTTTGGTAGTTGTAGATGGATACAATACCTTTATTTTATTTATTTATGTTTACACGGAGGATCAGACCCAGGGCCTCACACGCGCAAGGCAAGCACTCCACCACGAAGCGACAACCCCAGCCCTGCTGCTTATTTTTAAAGGGACATATTTTTCTTTTTCTCTTCTCCCTCTCCCTCTTCCTGACCTGGGGAACTAGATTACCTTGAGTTATCTGTGCTTCATAGGAAGGAGATGTCACCAGAAGATCCAGGAAGTGTCTCTGTCCCAAGTTAGCAAGTGAATTTCAACACATCTCCAGGGCACATCTGGAATGGAGCCTTTGAAGAGCTTCTTTCAAAGCCCTCTGTTTTCCCTGAAGAGCAGAACCACAGACTCTGAGACTGGAGTCCCCAGTGTTTCTCCTTTGCTAACAAAGGATTAAACCTTCTGTTTTCCTTGACTCAAAACCATGTCCTCATGATTAACTGGCATGAGTTGGCATTGGGGACAATTTTGGTAACAAAATTGGTGACCCAGATGGGACCGGAGAGCAGCCCCCACTCCGGCTTTCTTGGGCAGGCCTGGCACTCCAAGCAACCAAAATTCCGTGCTGAGGATGTAAGGCAAACTTTTTTGAGAACTGACTGCTGGAAAGTTAGGAGATGGGCAAATGTACCTGGAGTTGAACCAAAGGAGCTATTCCTGTGAGTACAGGGGGGACTGAGGGATTGTTCCAGCAATTGCTGAAGCACATTTAGCTTCAGGGAACTCCCACCTTCCTTCCCTGAACTATATGGGTCTCTCCATCTTGGTCTACTTTGAGAAAAAGGAAACTGAGCACGGTAAAGTTGTGACACCTTGGCCATGCAGTAAGCTCCCTCGGGGTACACACTGAGACCCTCAATTCTACACGTTTCCCCTTTGTGGGACATCTGTGGCACCGGTGGTGTAGAAGTCATAGTTAAGTGGGAGTTGGGAACTTTGGGGGGTTTTCCTCTATCTGTTTTGTTTTAAAGGTTCCCATCTGTTGGCCATGGTTTGGGGATTGTCTCTGTTTGCCGGTCTCTATTTTTTGTTTGTTTGTATCTGTTTCTGGCCCTTTAAGACATGGGTAATAATACTGTTTTGATCCTATAGATTGTTTTCTTGGGAAAGATCATGGTTGAATGGGTCACTTATAGATATAAACCTGTCTAAGAAAAAGATGATGTTTTACTGTAACAATCTAGTCTTTGAATGGTTTTCTGAATTATTGTACAATCTTGCAGTTGGGAGTTGGTCTGTCAGAGATAAAATAAGTGAAAGATTCTGTATGTACAGGAACATATGCAATTACATAATAAGGAGTCCTAACAGTCAAAACCAAAGTTGGATATAAAAAAGTGCTGCCTCAAATGTGTGGATATAGCAGGAGACCAAAA